TATAACATACCCCCCCCCCAAGTTTTCGCGCATTCCTCGGTACATTTTCCGTAATTTACTCTTCCTGATTTGTTCAAAACCCCCCAAATTTACGCCGCTTAACTTTTCCGCGCGCCCCGAAAATTTCTTCTCCTAACTTTTCTGCGTGCGCCCAAATTTACTCTCGCGGCGCTGATTCGCCTCATCGATTAATTTTCTGAGTGCGCAAAAGTCTTGTTTAGCTCGCTCCGGGCAATGAAAGGATTATCTTTTATAAAAAGCCAGATGCCTTAATAGGTCAGCCCTATTTTATGTTATTTTTGATAAAATTATTGTTTATTATTTCAATGAAGTTAATAAATATTTGATAGAACGTTTTTCTAGTGCGAAAGATGAAAACGACATCTGTGGAGCAAAATCCTGACCTCAATATTTTAAGTTACTCGAATGGTACGATTTTTATGTGTCCAAGCCACGAAAAAGTTCCAATTCTAGCGCCTCAAGTACCTGAAAACCAACTGTATTCGACTGCTTTTCTGTTAATACAACTTTGAAAACATGCACTAATAAATAAGTATTACTAGAAATAATGATATTCTGTCATAACTTAGTATTTGTTTGTTGATTGCAATTAACTGAAAGGAAAATTTTATTAAACAATGATTAAACATACAATGTCGCATTACTTTGAGGAAGTTTATCCATCATATTTACGTATGATTATCTCTTCCGGCTATTTTTGAACCGGTTGAGGCACACACGGGTGGCGCCCGAGCGCTCCGTCCCCGTCGGGCAATATCTTGCTCTTCAAATTTCGCTATAATTTTTAATAATTTATGACTATTTATTTTTAAATTATGGCCTTTGTATTTAATGGCAAGAAACCGGACAAAAAAACCGGTAAAGAAAAGAAGCCGAGAAAGAAAAGAGGGCCCTACGGAAGTTCGTCGACTTTGAAAGAGAGAGCGGATGCATTGAAAATCATCGTCGCAAGAAAGGATGCAGGAGAATCGTAAGTTGTTAGATTTTTTAATATTTTCTTTAATCTTGCACTATTTTTACTAATGAAAGATTATCATAAAATGAAACTAAAGTCGTAATCGTAAGTTACAAATACCTGCCCAATGCCCTTTTAAACAATCATCAAAAAATCACAAAAATTCCATCAAGGAAATTAATGGTGATGAGTCGACACCCTTAAATGCCTTCTTCAAAATAATCTTTATCGGTTTTTAACAAAATTTATTAACAAAGTTTATAATGGAAACAGTTTCATAATCGATCTTTATATACGGCTTTCCTCGGCGCATGCTTTCCAAATCCGATTCTACAACTTCAAGGCGTTCTGATTAAGAATTGCGCGAATTTGTTTGATCCTCTGAGGCCGTAATGGTGGGCGCTTACGTGGACGAGTGGTGCTTGAAGGTTGTGTCGGAGGGGCCCCAGGGATCAAGATCGCCGTTAGAGAAGATCGTGTTCGAAGTAGCTTCCAGGTTGTCGGCCCAGTATTTGATTCTAAACCGATGTTAGGGACGAATAGTAAAGAAAACAAATATCCGCCGTTTCTATTGCGTGAAAATACACGACTCGCGGATTCTTTTAAAATTTCAAACTTTTACACTTTAGCTCAACATTGCGGAATAGCTTCTTTGGATCATAGTCAAGCTCGTCCGCTGGTGGAAGGCTTGTTTTGCTTTTTATACAAGCTCGAAAATAAACAGGGAAAAGATTGTTTCTTTTAAAACTCTTTCCTGTCAGTTTTGTAGATTGGAAGAAGAGAGCTTAAGGAGGTGCTTTGTTAGAATTTCGTTAAGCTTTTACCAAAGGGGAGGACTTACGGCTTATCTTCAAGTTCTTCTTCGAGCCCCTGCTCAAGAATTTGGCGCGGATTAGGTAACGATGATTTGGACTGGGGAATGAAGACTTTGTTTTTCAGGAAATCTTGGAATCGCTCAGCGTATAAGCCAGGCCGCACCACTAGAATTGACGTTTTTTGAATTGATTTTTTTTATGAAAAGAAGACCTGAAATCCCGTCGCCATTTGTGTAAAGATTTTTGATGAAATATTCCGTTTTCTTGAGAATTTTGTGGCACTGGAGGATGTCGATAATTCCACAATAAATATGAACTTGTGTGCCGTCGGGAAGTAGTGCAGGCAAGCCCTAGTTCTGGTCGACTTTGTGCTGAGAGAGTTGAAGATTCACTTGCGAGTCAGTGAAGACCTGCTCCATTGGCGACGAGTATAAGGCAGAGCGCTATAACGAAAATGAGGATGGGTCAATAAGAATGCTCAAATAAGTCCTCCGACTAATAAGGAACCCGGATTTCAAAGCCAAGGCATGAAAAAGATTGAAATTCATAGATTAAATACAATCGGGGTTCTGATGGGCTGGAGGCTTTTTTTGAGCATTTTTATTCGTCCAAAAAGAACTGTCTGAACGAAGTTTTAGGAAGATAGACTTACTTTGTGAAAGGATTTCTTGTTTCGTTTTCTTTTGACCAGAGAGCTCTTGCCTGAGTTGCCTCTGGAATTACTCGCGCTCAAGCTCATCGACTCCATACTAGCAATCTCCGTTGTAGAAGTTCTTGAGGATAATTTAGTTTCTCGCCTCGATTAATTGGTTTACCTTAATAGCAGCTCCAGAAGCAGTTTCGAGCTGGATGTCATTTGTTCCATTGGAAAGTGATTTCTCGTTGATGATGATTTCCATGTCTTCAGAGTCGGTCAACAGCGTCAAGTCTCATCCAAAAGTTATTAGTGTTGAAAATCTAATGGAGGATAGAGTGAATGTTTATCGGAAGAATTGATCCTACCTTGAACTTGGAGACAGATTTGAATTTGTCAACGTGCTCTTTTGGGACTTGGGCGATTTCCAAAAGTCTTCGTAGTCAATCAAGGTACCTCGCTAAAGATTTTCATGCAGTGCTTGTTGTCTGGGTTGACATGTGGGCGAGGATGTTCATGTCGACGGTTGCGCCAAGATTGTCGATGCTGGAAAGGAAGATTTAAAAGTGACGATTAGTCCTGAGACTTAAACCAAATTCGCTTATTATTACTTTGCCCTGCTTTATGAGCTCTTCAATCAAACCAGAGTCGTAAAGGGCCATGTAGATGTCACCGTGGGTACCATCCTTGAGGTTGTAGAGATCCTTGGTGGGGACGGGGAGAAGGGTTTCTTTGTTGATTCGTTGGAAGCTGGTTGAACATTTTGATGTCGACCTGGCAGTTGTTGTTCTTTCGGAGGATCTTTCGGGTGTCTTCTTCGGTGTTGAAGGAGTTCATCAAAACCAAGGGGACGTTGGTCTCGTAGGTCTTGTTCAAGTGCTCGATTTGCTGAACAGTCAAGTCCAAAAAGTTCAATCCAGATCTGACGGAAATGATCGACTTGGGACAAGTGAAGCCCGTGGAAGTACCGCGACCACCATTGAGCTTGATGACGACCACTTTCGTTTTTCCAACGATCAGAGCCTTAAAATTACGTTAAGATATGTCCAGATTGGCAATGACCTTGGTATACACAAAGACAAAGTACGATATTGGTATGATCACAAGGACAAGACATACGCGAGCCTCGAAGTGCATGGAACTGAAGACAATCGACAAGTTTATAACGCTGGAAGAATTGATTTCGAGAAGTAGTAGCCTAATAACAATTCTCTAATTAATTCTTATAACTTTAGAACCATCCATTTCTCTCTTGCTGACAAAGAGGATGACATCATCGAAGAAGCTGAACTCACGAACATTTCCCGCAGAGCCTTAGATGCTGACAATGGAAAAGTTTTACGTCCATTAGACTGTTTCAGAGCTAGAGTAAACAACCATGCAATTCAATATGGAAAAACCTGTCCTGAGGAGTACAAAAACAACAGTCGAACATATTCAAGTACTTATTTAGTTGGTAATAAGTGACCTACCTTTTAAATATTAACCAAAATTAAGGCAATACCGGAAAAAACCGAAGAGGAAGTACTGTTTCATTAGTCAAACGACTTGGCTTTGGGATGGAAAAACAAACGGAGCAAAAGAAACCAATCGAATTTTCTAAACTTGCCGGTCATACAGCTGAACTTGTCGATAAAATTAATAATCGTAACCCGTCAGGAACGGCTTCATTTACTCTTATTGTAATGTTAAAAATACAAAATGAAACCTTTAAAAGATGTTATGAATATAGACGAGAAGAAAGTAGAGCTACAACGTGCACATTCCAAAGGATGGGGCTCCAAGAAGGTGAATTGGAATAGAAAGCAGCTCGGAAACAAGCGTATCGGAGCGACGAGCCTTACTGCGATTGCTGCTGATGGTTCAAGAAGATGGTCAACAGGAAATTTTATAAATATTAATCTTAAAGATAAACCTTTTTAGTAGCTTCGGCAGTTCTAGTTTTCTCCAACCAGTCGTTGAATTCTTTTTTTGTCGTCTTCAGCTTTTTGCATCGCTCTCTCCGAGTAGTTGTTGATTTTGATCAGATTTTCCTTCTTCTCGGCTGCTTTTAACGACTTTTTCCATTCATACCGGATCATCTAAAATTTTTCTTTTATAAAATTTATAAAAAATATCAAGTAATCGTGGCGAATATCCCGAAGGAGCTCACTAAAGTCGCCAAAAAACAGCTGATCTACAAGACGGAGAATTTTTCATATTATTATATGAATATCGTTACGATGACGTGTGATGGCCCGAAGGATCTACATCTATACACAAGTAGCAAGGCTTCGATGACCAATGTGATTTGGACGCACATGATCACGAGATGGAATGCTGAACTGGTGGAAGATAATCAGCACATTTTACTTTTATTGGGTTCTTTATCTTATTAAAAAAAATAATGAATTATTAAAACTATTTAAGACAACGCGTCCCAGCACGGCTTCTTGAAAGGAATGGACGCTGAGCATTCCAACATCGAAATGGCCTTTCTGCTGGCTAATTCCACTGATCTCTGTCAGGTAATTTTTCCGAAGATGAGTGGTAAGAGATTGAGTGAGCTTTGGTACTGACGTGAATGGAGCTAAATCTAAATGACAAATTGCCTAATTTATGAAATGAACAATTTTCTAACTCGAAATTCAAAACTTCAATTTTAATTAATGGCTTCGAAAAATAGAAATTGGAAAAACCGGAGCTGAGATAAAATGAGACTAAAACTGGAGCCAGCCGAAGGTACTGTATTCGAAGATAGGCCGGAAAAAAGGAAAATAGGTTTTGGAAAACAACAAGACGGATATTCATAAAGAGACGAGTAAATCTGTAAATGTTTGGTTATTTTTGTATGTATTAATTGTATCGTTCCTTTTTCAGCGATCGTGAGTTAGGCTTTATGGGGAATAATGAAGATAGTGATGGGTTCAATAAATGTCTTAATTTGTCGATAAACAAGATTCAAGCGCACAAAGGAACAAAGGATTTTGTACAAAAATGCAAAGAGAGTAAGCTTTTAGTTGATAAAAGTTGCAAACAAATTGAAATTGAAAATTGGTAAAATAAGAAAAAGAATCTTCGCTTGAAAATGGAGCTGAATTCGAAGGTTTCCGAAGAATGGTCGTGCGGGCGGAGCAGCGGGTGGTCATCTCGAGCTTTTTTGAGAACGAGAGTGTTAACTTGTTGCAGCTTCGAGGATCTGGCAGTCGGAGCAGACGAACTTCGGGTCGTCGCGGACGTCTTTCGGGTTAACGTTGAGGCAGAACATGTGGTACCATTTTGCGCAGCGCTCGAAATAGACCCGCTCGAATTTGTTGCCGTCTGGACGCTTGCATTGGCCTAAAAATGCGTGAAAACACAAAAACTTTATCCATCTTACCAGCAACGCAAGGTCCATCATCGTCAACATCCTCGTCGTCGTCCTCGTTTTCACTCGTTTCTTGTTGAAATTGAGTCCGAGCTCCTTTGTTTTTCTTCCGCGGATTCTGCGAGCGTCGTGGGAGATCGGAATCCTTATCGCGTCGTTTACGATTCGGCGCCTTGTTTTAGAGATAAGAACATTTCAAATTTTCAAAAAAAAAACGCTTACGTCGCAGCTCATGGTGTAAGTTCCAGAAGTAGCATTTGGGAAAAGGAAGGAGTTGAACTAGAACTGAATCGCTGCAGCATCTGACTGGCCAGAAGAGCCGAACTGGAAGTCAACGATTGCATTGGGGCAGACGTTGAGGACTTCGAGGGTCGAACTTTTTCGCCTTCAATAGTGTTCAATTAAACCATATTTCATAGAAACTTACGATTATGACTAGGAAGTTGAGGGCGTAAAATGCATCCAGCAAATAGTCCAGCTAGGAATTCACTTGTACATCAATTGATGCTACCATGCTTGAGAACCTCTTTCAGGAACATTATCTAACCAAAGTTGTTCGTTGAATGATGAGATTTGGAGACTTACTAAATATTGAAAGTTGTTTTGCGATCTGAGGTCGAGCTTTTCAACGAGATTTTTACAAAGCCTCACGTGGTCCACGATGACAAGGCAAATTTCAAAATGCGAACATAAGATTATTGGGAAGGGATTCGAATTGTGGAAGAGCAACAATACTTCTGCCACGGAAGCAACTGAACCTGGAAGTGTCTCGATCTAAAAGTAGTTTTCTGTAAATCCATGGTTGACGATGTGATTCAGTAAAACGTAGAAAGCAGGTTGAAATTCTGCTCCCTCATCGAAGCATCGTTTGAGGCATTCTTTTCTGAGAAAAAATGTTGAGGGTCTCGAATTTATCTTGAAAGTACCTAATTGATTGAGAACTAGAGAAGTCGCAGGATATAAAGGAAGCTTTTTTGAAGAATGAATGTGTAAGAGCAATGAATGGCATTCCAAACGCCGAGTATGTTCAGTTTCCGGAAAGAGTTATGTAATGATCAGGCCCGTTTTTCAACTTGAGGATGAGAATGAGATCGTCGACGGGATTCACGAACTTGTCTCCTTGCTTCACACCGAAGTTGAACTTTGAGACGACTTCTTTATTGATGTTGAGATCGAATCCTATTGTATAAATTGAGGCATCTCCACTATCTGGCTGTAAGATTACCTGAAAATAACTTCAAATCATGGATTTTCATTGCAATTTACCTTATTTGGATCGATCCACAAGCCGATGTTTGAATTAAAAGCTTCGTAGATGTCCTTGTCCGGCGAGAACACTTTCGAATCGATGATCTGAAACTGCGCCAGCGTCTTTCCCGTATTCTGCGATCGCTCGTTCCAAAATTTCAGCTTTCCAAAGTCGATTGCTTTGCTTGAAACAGCCTTTGCGGAATAAGCTCAATCTCGTGCTTGTCTAGCCAACTGGTAACTTCTTTGTACACGGAGTAGTAGATTTCTTTGTTGATCCTCTCGGTTCGGGCGATGAAACTGGCAAGGATTGGTTTGTGGTCAGAAATGGTTATTGAAGGATGTGAAGAATAAGACAGACATTCTACGGATTGTTGTCATTGGCACATATTGATCGCTGGTTTCTGGGAAATCATCTTGAGTAGTTGAGCTCTCGAATTTTCTTCGTTGATTTTTTCTTTCTAAATAAATTTAAGCCGGCGGATCAGGGATATCACGCAACTCTCGGCAAGTTGATGCGATCATGGGTGACAGAGCAGTACGCGAAAAATGATGAACCACCGAATCGAGCTGACGCAGTCCTCAAAGTCAATGAAGCGGTCTACTGTATTCACCCAGATTGCATCATTGGTTCTTATGCAAGAAGGAAAGTTAATTTTGCATTCAAAAGAATGTGAGAGCTATAACTTTTAGAAACAGTACCTAGTGCATTTCTCCTGATCAGTTTTCTTTCGAAAGTTCTTTGTAAGAGCCGGCAGAGTTTGAACGCATATTCTTCTTGATACAGGCAGCACTCGTTCAATTTGATCCTAAAAATGAAATTAAAAGTAATAAAAAGTGAAATTAATGATAAAAGCGGACTTCTTCACGCTGATCTCGTCAACGAGGAGAAAAACCACGTCAATCGAGAACTTCCAAAGGCCCCAGAAGAAGAAAAGGCGCGAAAAAAACGAAGAGAAGGAAAAGAATCACTCTACAAGCTCTACAGCAAAGAAGTTTTGCAAGACTTTCTTTATAAGGACCCGATTATCGAAAGCGATCGCTTTTCTTATAAAACGCGAATAGAACTGAAGGTAATTAATTTGAGAGATATTTTCTGATTTTAACTTTTTTTAGGAACCCGACATTGAATTGGAAGAGAGAGTGAAGAAGATTATTCAACTGAAAAACGCAGCAAAAGCTCGAAAATGCGCCGAAACGAAGAAAAAGAGGAAAATGGAAAGAAGTCAAACCAAGAAAAACCCGATCCCCGATGAGCCTGAAAAAGCACCAGAGGAGAAGGAAGAAGAAGTCGAATCCGAAGCCGAGGAACCAGAAAGAAAGATCCCAAGGGAGGAGCCACGGAACCGATATGTCCTGGGTCAATTGCTCACTCCAGCGGATTTCGAGAGCATCAGAGGCAATCGATGGTTTTTCAGCACAGCAGTCGACGCTTTTTACCGTGTTCTTGAGCATGAACATCCTGAAATTGCGGCAATATCCGTGAATGTATCTGTAAGTCTATAAAATTTTTTAAAGAATAACTATTTTCTAAGATTTCTTTGGCCAGTCAATCACCGGAAATGGCGAAGAATTTTTTCAGTGGAAGATTGTTCGAGACAAAGGAAAGAATCCTGATTCCAATCCATCAATCGTAAGTTAAATAAATATCTATTTTTATGCACTAATGGACTTCTTCCTAATTAAATTTCATTCTAGTGATCCTATTGGTCATTATTCTCTACTTCAACTCGATCTTGCTCTACAGGAATGTACCTACTTTGATAGCCTTGCAAATCTCTATGGAACTTCTCAAGAAAAATCCGATGCTAAAAAAAAGAAAAAAGAAATTTTGGACTTGCTTCTACCTTTCATTGGACAACGATTTGACGAACAATTTGCCCGTGGATTCATCAAAAACACATTTCTGGACAAGAACATTGCGAGCCCGTCAACTGGAAAATGGCGATCGAAATGCGCAGAGCTACCGACAATGCAATTGGATGGACACTCCTGTGGTCCGTGGATTTGTCACTTTGCGGATTGTCTAGGAAAGCGATTTATAATTTACCTTGATTTCTTGTCGAATTCTTTTTTGATGAAAGCAGCAATGTTCTTTCGTTCCCGGAAAGTGCGTTTTTGGCCTTCGAGAGCTTGCTGAGAGTACTGATCCGTGAAGGTGTAGAAGCTGGATGTGTGGAACTCGCGGAAGATGAACGTCTTTTTTTTACAAATTTGCCGTCTAGATCTTTCAGTCAGATTAGACTTACTAAGCCAGTCTTTAATTGATTCAAAAATGAGCAGTTCTTGCTTTTATACCTCGCTGAATTGATAGCCCCGTTTTCTCGGAGATAGCGAGTGATGTTGTGCGAAGTCGCGTTTTGGGAGCTCTTCTTCAAGTGAATAAAGGGATTTGACAGGAAAAAGCTTAGAATGTTGATGTCATGCCACTAAAAAGGGTAAACAGACTAATAGATTAAGAGAAATGGCTGGAATATTTTTAGACAGTTGTTTGAGTTTTCAGAATATCACGCGGAAACATTCCTACAGAAAGACAAATCAATAACGAGCGAAATAAATATAGTGGTCGATGATTAACGGAGAATATCTATTGCGAGACAAAGGTGCGGCAGAACGAGTCGTAAATAAAATAGGTGGTGGTCTAAACTTTGAAGTTCGTATGTGCGATAAGAACTTCGGGTGGCCTAAACTTTGATCGTTCCCATGTGTGGCTCTTTGAGAAAGTGGCCTAAACTTTGAATTTCCCCGGAGGCGCTTCTGCCATCGGTGACTAGAGCTCTGCCTGCTAAGGCCACTACGCTTTAATCAGACCAATTAGGTTTACGGTTTTCATTCAGGGTGATGACACATGGAACTAGTCAGAGCGCCTCAGGGGAAATTCAAAGTTTAGACCACTTTCACACATGGAAAGAATCAAAGATTAGGCCACTTTCTCATAGAATCACACATGGGAAGAATCAAAGTTTAGGCCACACAAAGTTCTTATCGCACGTAAGAACTTCAAAGTTTAGACCACCACCTATTTTAGTACAAGCAGCAGTGTTTTAAACAAGACTGAGTTTACATGAAGTATCCGGCATTTTTGTATAAATGATTGCTGAAGATGTGAAGAGCATTGCCCCATTCCTTATCCTCTGCAATCTTCCGCGTTTCGAGGGAATTCTCGCGCTTTGGAAACGAGTTTCGCCAGTTGTTTGCTTTTCGATGTTGCCACTCGACATGGGCGGGATGTCGATAGAAGACGGAGTAGTTTTTGCTCTTCAAAAGATTTGGGACGCAGAACCACCTCGCTCTATAAACCAAAAGTAAAAGAAGACAAACGGAAATTTTAACTTACTGTTGCGGGTGGCGTAGAGGTACTTGAAGATCGAAGCACGTCAATATTGATCGCATTCATCTTGCGCGAAATATTCTCGACTGACATTGAACGCTTCGCGACTGGGAGAACGTCTCGCCGTGTGTTCAAGTTTCTACGAAGGATTAACAATGAAGGAATTGCAAAAATTGTCATTACTTTTTTGGCGAATCTTTTGGGACGCTGATATTTCCGGGAATAGCTTGGTAAGCTCCAGACGCAGTGGACAATGCGCTCATCCATCGACGTTGCTTCTCGTAGCTTTCCGCTGCAAGCAGGACATTGTCAATGATTTTATACATTCGTAGTCGATAAATTCCATAGTTTAATTGTTAGATTAGCGGGACATGAAGCTATCAATTAATTATTTAGCAAATGATCCTAGTTGGCGATTTTTACCGAGTTATTTTCCCGTGGAATCAAATGCGCAGTCTTGAACGGTGTCTGTTTGTCCTTTTAGCGTCCTCTCAAATTCGCCACTTTTAAATTCCTAAATCTAGATCGCTTTAAAATGGAGTAAAAGAGAGAAGTCGTTACTTGATTTGCGAGTCTTCGAAAGCAGTGACGAGTAGACTGAATTGAGGATGGAAAATGGTTCTGCTGAACAAGGTAGAATTCGTGGTGCGGCTGTCTGTATTCTTTTGTCGGCACAATAAAGTGAAGTGGAATCTGCTCTCTGTTCGTGTCCATTATTTCCTGAAACGGTTAATTGTTAAAAGGATAGTAAGCATCTGTTCACTTTTTTTGATTAATGAACAGAGTATTCTTTTAAAATCGCTAATTAGCTTCCAAAAAGGATCTCTCCAGCCGACAGCACAGAGATATGCCAGAGTGGAGAAAAACGATTGAAGAAAGGGTAAGAATCAATAATATTTACGCTATTCTGAATAACTTATTCAATTTCTTTTAAAGATTCTCAAATACTGCCGTTGATTTACCTGCTAAGAAAACTCGCGATTTTATGTCGATTCACGCCGCAAACTCGATGTACAGCTATTGATGACGTCATTACTCCACCACCATAAACCACTGAAAATCATAAATTTTACTGTCATTCTTATCGCTTCAATAAAACAGACAATATTTAAAAATTAAAAAATAACAATGTTTAAAAAGGTAAAGGTGTATCAAAGGTCAGTGTCAGAATATATTCCAAAATGTAATTTCTCTAACTAAGTTCTGGACTTAAACTTCTACAATTGATCTTCCTCTGGAAAAAAAAAGACTGAAATCCCTTGGCTTAATTTGGCGCTATGATTGGATAACGCGCCCGTTAATGAATCATTAGCGTTGACGCGCATTTCAGCGGCGCGCGAGTAAATTTTGGCGCACGCGGAAAAGTTAGGAAAGAAATTTGGAAACGCGGGGGAACGCGAGGAAGCGTAAATTTTGGGTGTTTTAGAAAAGTTAGGAAACGGAAACTTGGGCGAAATACCACGAATTGCGCGGAAATTTAGGGGGGGGGTATGTTAGCTGGGGTCGGCAACTAGCCACTAGCCAACTAGCCAATGGCTAGTAAAATGGCTAGTTTGGCTAGGCTAGAACTAGCCTAGCCTAGCCTAGCCACCGTAATATCACCCATTTTACTAGCCATTGGCTAGCTTAAACTAGCCAAAAAACTAGCCAAAATAGCCATTGACCAACTAGCCATGGCTAGTTAACTAGCCTAGCCTAGCCTAGCCTAGCCACGGCATTTTGTGGCTAGTTGCCGACCCCAGATATATAGTGTAACCCTTTTTGACATTCCGAGAAGAGGAATTTTCTCTTTCGTATTAAGGCTGACGATAGGGATTGCGTCATAGCAAGGAATGACCCCGACGAATAGGTGTTTGAGTGAACACTGATTCGTCGTATTCAATTGTTCGACCCCGACGAATTGGTGTATTTTTGGTCTTCAATCTGTCGGGATCGACCCCGACGAATGACTGTTATTTCATATTTCATTTGTCGGGGCGACCCCGACGAATTACCACAGACTACGATGAAAACAGTGTTTGAAAAAAGCCTGAGAATCGAATGGTCGGACGAGCGCGGGCGCGAAGGGTCCGATTTTTCGGAAGGGCGGATGGGAGCGGGCACGTAAAGGCCAGATTTTGGGATGGACGGATGTGCGCGGGCACCCTCCCGCGCCCGCCCGCTCACCCTCCCGGGGCGCTTAATTCTACTCAAAGAAAACCAACAGAAAGACGCGTAAAAAGAACAAAACCGACCAAAACAGGGTTTGAAAGTATGTAGCGTAGTAACGTAGGAATTCATTAAGGCCAGGGTGGTCGATTTGGCCCAAAGCAGAGCTCATCAACTCTGGACTTATAAATGCTAGAATACCCAGTAATGGCTAAAAATAAAGATCTATCCTAGATCTTCTGAAGAAAAAAATCACTTCTGGAGGCTTCAAAGTTGGCATCTCGGCCAAAATCGCAAAAATGGCCAATATTTAAGGCTCAAAAACTCCGAAATTTGGCAGAAATCTTGGCAGAACAAAAAAACCTTCTGTAATTCAGAAGATCTAGGATAGATCTTTATTTTTAGCAATAACTGGGTATTCTAGCATTCATAAGTCCAGAGTTTATGAGCTCTGCTTGGGCCAAATCGACCACCCAAGCCTTAAATTACTAAATCGGGTGGTAGTAATGGTAGTATGTTGTAGCATTCTCTTATTTCGCATTATTTTCTTTTATCTACTTTTTAATATTTAAAAATGTTAATGGGAAAACGACGGATCTTGTTTGATAAGTTATTTAAAATAACTACTTTTGCTGGTAGTAGATGGTAGTAAACTGTCTGGACCAAAAACCCACCACCCACCGACCGACCAACAAAGAAAACGGACGTAATCTACACAGAAAAGGGGCCTTTTTTACATAGAATACGGACTTATTTTACACAGAAAATAAACGTTTTTCTATTTTTCTGTGTAAAATAAGTCCCAATTTTATGTAAAATGAGTCCTTGTTCTGTGTAAAATGAGTCCGTTTTAGTGGATAATTCCGGTCCGATCACATGCACTCATGGGCAAGGGGCGAGCATGGGAGGGGAGGGCGGGCGAGCGGGGGCGCATGAGCGGTACGTGCGCGTGCGAGCAGTATGAGGCTTGATTTTTTGATGGGCGGATGGGCGCGGGCAAAATTTGTCAAAATTTTAGGTGGTCGGATGGACGAGCGCGCCCGCCCGCGCCCCGCTCGCCCGCTCGCTGCCCGCGCACATTCTTTTTTCAAACACTGGATGAAAATTTCATAACCGATCGTCCAGTAACAGTCACCGGCGCTTATTTTACCGACGGCGAAGTGTATTTTCATCAAATGGTACTTGACGACGTCGACATTCCAAGTGATGAATACGTTATTCAAAATTCTGATAATCAAAATCACAGTCCACTTCTTCGAATTCCGCGACAGAACCGGTATTATGCTTCTGAGCAAATGATGAGTGATTGCTTCAATCCGAAATTAAACGATTATATTTACACTGGTTGGAATGATTCTGGAAATTACGTCCTGTATTTAGCAAACGAAAAATTTGGAAAAATGGACCCAGAAAGTTGGTATCTTCTGCCTCAAGCTTATTCAATCACTTTAACGAATAATTAAGCTGTTTATGAATAATAATCTTAAAATAAAACTGTGTCTTTACTTAAAAATACGGTTGTTGAGTGTTTGATTGTTTTGTAGGGCCGAGGGGAGCCCCTTGCGCCTGGTGTGAGTTTTGTTAACAAGCACTGGTTTGATTTAGAAAATCTTTGAAGCAGAAATAGTCATGTAAAACAACGCTTGCATCGTAAAACGAAAACAAAGATTTGCTCATTCCACGTCACTGCCATTTTCGCAATATTGGAGCTACTATCAGCCCAATATCAGAGCCAACTTATCAATCAATGAGTCTGGAGTTCATCGCATTTGTCGGGAATTTGAGTAGAACCTAAACACGTGTTTGGAAGCTGAATATGCAAGAGCACAATTATGATAACATTTTAACTGAGTCATTATCTCACCAAAAAGCAACTTGAAGTCTACAGCAGTAAATCGAATTGCAGCAGCCTTATTTAAAACAGCTCCTAGAAATTGGTCAGAAAATCTGCTCGAGTACCATTATGAATTCTGATTAGATTTGTAAACGAAATTTTCGGAAACGTGCTGTCAAGAAAATGCTGCCGAGCGAGTAGTGTCGGCACCGCAAATATTGGTGCTTTTAATCTGCTCCATTAGCATACTCGCGTGTTTGACACTCTTGGAGAACCAGTTTCGTACTTGCAAAAGCCAGTTTTCATACCTCTGCGTCATCTTTCGATGGTTTGTTTTTCCGCAATTGTGGGAACTATGCGAATAACTATGTGCTTGATTGAGCAACACGTCAAATTAACGACTCAAGGGGCATCAGCGCTGGACCGACCGGTCGACCTCGACGAATTCCGAGATCTTACGTGACACAATAATTCGACTTCAACGAAAATTTTTTGAAAGTAAAAAATAGTGCTTCATTTTCAGAACATAATTGAAGCCTTATCATTTTGGTTTAACCTTTTTTATCACCATTCTGGATACTTTATCAATTGAATATATTTCTGGCGAAAGTAACAGTTCTGTTTATTTTATCTTCTTTGAGTTCCATTTTGATAAAGGCACCAAACTACTTCTGTTCTTGTTTTTTTCTTATCGCTCCGGCTGGCCGCTGCTGAGCTCGCTTGGGCCTTCAGGCTGACGCTCAGCGTTAAATAACTTCCAGCTTTGTTTCGATAAAGGAATCAGATAAAGCTACATTACATAATCCACAAATGCCGAGGAAATACTTCCGCAAGAAACCACAGGAACTCTTTGCACCGCACGTTCCATTTAAATAAACCAATATTCTGCAATAAAATGAAATTTATTTTCATGAAATAAGAAATCCGGAGAAAAGAGTATTATATGAACCACCATTAACTTTGCCTTGTACCAGATAAACATCAACCTTGTCGTTTGCTTTGAGAAGAAGAACCGTAGAAATTGTCATTGACATTTGATTATCCTTAACATTTTTTAATCAAATAACCTGATTACTTGTATAATACATTATAATTTATAATTTATAAAAAATAATATGGGAAATTACCGTTGAACTAGCATATGCGAGATTGTGTCTATTACGCCGAAGTGCTATGCCTGTAACTTTGTTAGTAACTGCAAGTGCAGTAACCGTGAAAGAATAGAGCCCACCAACTGGCGCTGTGAAAACACCAGTAGAAGTACTCAGTCCGCCATTTCCAGAAAAAACCTCATTCAAATTCAAGTAAGCCGTCGTAAACCGGAGAACCCCCTTCGCTCCCATTTCTTTAAGTCCGGCTCTAAAAGCGATCCTCTGGCTCATATTTTTTTCAAAATCTCAATGTGCGGATCTTGGTTTTGAAATTATTGCTTATTTGTTTCCTAAAGATACGGGGGTTCTATTTGCACAATAAAAACAATTCTCTCTCTACTGATTTCTATTTATTTATTTTACTGGCCAAAAGCTTACTTTTGATGAACAGATAATCAAAATTGATTGTGAAAAAGAAAAGTCTTTAGACTCTAAAGTTAAGGGGATAGAAACAGCTTTCTCGATTTTGAACTGTAGCTATATAAAAGAAAACATAAGATTTACATATGTTAACGGAATTTCCTTATAGATGTTCCTAGAAAAGGGGTTAAGCTTTACAAAAATGTGTATGAAATTTTTTTAACTATCACGGGACTCGAGATATTCGTGGTTGAAAATTGGCGAAAATTAAGAATTTCAGCGAGATGAGTTGCTTCTGAGCCCGTATACTCAAAAATTTGACGAATTAAACAAATTTCGAGAGAGATGTTCCTAGATCTAAGATGTATCTATCTAAACCTGTAGAGAAAATTTGAAAATATAAGATTCTCTTCTCAGTAGCGCCGGTCAAAAATCGGCTTTTTCGGAAAAAAGCTGTTTCTACCCCCTTAATTGATAATCAATGATTGTTGAGAAGAAAGCAGAAACGTGTTTTCTCTTTCAAATCTGGTTTTGGCTGCGGTTTTCTCACAATCATGAACACAATCGGAATTTGTTGTTGGACTGCGCTTGAACGTGCTCTAGCAACATGGCACTAATTATTTTTGGTCGCCTCTTCGCCGAAAACTCGCTCCACTCATCCACTTTTTTGCATCAGAGTCAATACCGTCTTAAAAAGGCTCGCCGAAAGACGATTAAAAATATCTGGCGCCGCCGAAGACCGGTGCCGTCATTAATCACTGCTTTATGAAGAAAGCTTCGAGCAGAAAAGTAACTTAGGCTTGGTTTTGGAGATCAGATTTCAGTTTCATGCACAAAATTGCACAAGACAGGTTCACGAAAGTAAAGCCGCCAAAAATCCCGCTAAAGCTAGGTGTAAAGCATAAGTACCTTTCTTTCGAGAATTTGTCGTGAAATATTTTAAAAGCACTATATACAGTACTTCTAGCTGCACTCGACCATGTAAATGACTTACAGAAAGAAGGGTTGATATTGCAATGATATCAAGAATCATTCAATCTAAAGTGACAATGATGGATCATTCAACGTATGATAATTATTGTCTAGGTCGAAAATAAACGGTCGTCAATTTAGACGAGAAACATAGCTCGTTCAACCGCAGAAGCGAATTTGAACGGGTTCTAATCAAATTGTGTATTCTAGCAGCATCAACTTCTAATGCGAAACCTTAGTTGAAGCCTTCCCTGGACCTATAAAAAGGAGAAGCGTCATAAAAGTGCGACAAAAGATCCGGTTTTTGATGAGACAACTTTCAACCAATCAAAAGCCTCGATTTGGCCGATTGCCCAATCAGATTTTCAGTCAATAATTTCTCAAGAAATTTTGCAAAAAAAGCTAGTCTATCCAATTTTTTGTACTTTTTAGCTTTTTCGCATGTCTTATTTTGCTCCCTAACCCTAACCTTAACTGTATTTTTGCTCTAAAGAGTGGCCTCCATTCTATTCAAGAACATAATGATTCCATTTCGAACCGGCCTTATCTCTTCTAACAAAAAAGCGCGATAAGGGATCTTTCGTAAATCCGCAGCCAAAAGCCTCCATTCTTAAAAATGATGTCTTTTCCTAAAACAAGAAGTGAGGAATTTGAATTTTCTGTCTTGCGGTTCAGAAGGTGTCGGGGCGAGCTGAGAAATCAAATTTTCATCGCGAAAATTTGCTCCAAGATGAAATGGAAACACACGTTGCCAATCAAGTGAGCGATTCAATTTGTCAGAAGAGCTTCAAACGGCGCCGTTTTTTTTTCGCGAAGAAGAAACTTAATTTTGACGATTTTTCTTTGGATCCCATCGTGGCTAATTTACGATAATGAGTTTTTTGGCTTCAAAAAAATTTTTTTTTCGTTCCAAAAAGGCTTTGAACCCCAACCCGATAAAAAAAATTCCCAAAAAAATATTTTTTTAATTTGTAAATGAAAAATTGCTTTACCGCCTTTTTGAGGCTACAAGACTCTTGGTCGTCAAAAAAGTTGGGCTGCTAAAGGAGCGAGCTGTAATTAAGTCTGTGTCAAGACGAAATCTAATCAAAGTCAAAAGTACTTAGCCCTGGTTCGTTAGTTATGTAAAGCGATGCGGAGATAATCGGCCGTGTATAATCCAAACTTTGCGGTTTAATTACATCCGCAGAAGAATACGCAACTCTCCTCAGCTTCCTTATCTCATCTTATCTACTTTCGATATCACAAGTTTCGCGAAGAGCAGTCGGTTCTAAGTAGACTTTTAATTCCTCCTCAATTTTTTAATTCATTTCAGACTTTGAATTTTTATTTTGGCAAAAGAGAGTTTTCAGATGATTTCTTCTGGCTCCAATTTTTGAAGAAACTGTAGCTTGGAGGATCATCATTGACGCTGCTTGGATTCTGGAGATCCCCCTGTTGAGTGGAGGAGCCATTCTTGTTCGAAATACAGTGAAAGCATCGTCGAAGAAGAAGAACAGCAATAATAATCGTCACACAGAGAAGTCCAATTTCCCAAATTTCAATTTGATTTTCATCATGCAATCCGTTGAACGTAATGGCTAAGGCGACTTTTGAGGCCAAAAAATAAGTTGAAATACTTACCGAAGTCATCGACATGAAGATTTACGTCGACATCAGAATTTGCGTTCAAATCGCCTTCAAGCGGATCCAAGTGGAGGCTGTGAGAAGTATCGATGTCTTTCAGAGTTGTTTTTTTGTCACTAATTTAATCAAACTTTCAGCGTTACAACTCTGTTCTCGATATCGTGTTTCGTTTCGCACCAAGGGAGAAACGACAAAATACACATTTTCGTCTTTCTCTATTTCTCGAGTCTTCCTCTTATGCTTCAATTAACGCGGGAATAAAAATTTACACTAAATATATTTCCAAAAAATGATTGCGCATTTGAAATTTTTCGTCATTTATTAATTCTCAAATTTACAAACCAATTTCGCTGAGAACCAAATTTTTAAATTTGACAGTTCAAGATTTTTAACGTTTTCAAAAAATGGGAAGTTCTCAATCGAGCCATACTGAAGAAGTCAAGCAAGAAATAATCAACCAGATAGAAAACCAATATGAACTGACGGGTGAAGTAGAAGTTGATGCTCTCGTCGAATTTATCCTCACGGTAAATGGACTTTTGACCAAGAATCTGCGGCTCTTTCATTTTTCGTAATAGATGGAGATTGATGTTGGTATTCGATTCTCGGTTTTCAAAAATGAAACTTTTGGACTTATCGGCCTTGTGATCTTCTTCATTGCTGTAGTTCTCATTTCCTTCTTCCTCCGCCGTGCTAGCTGCTGCTGCGTCACAAACACCAATTCCACGGTTTCAAACAACAACGTCCTGAATAATAATACTCAAGAAAGAGTTGCTAAAACGGCTTTAGCATATTTTCGCTAAAGTGTTTTTTGTCAACTCTTACCAAGATCCAGAATCAAGTCCAATGATAAGCTCCCGAAAACCAGCCCTCTTGGAAAAGCGGGCAACAATGACGAGACTGTTCAAAAGAAATACAGAGCCGTAAATTTTTTCTGAAGAAACGAAAGCTCAAAAGTCAAAGTCTCTCGGATGCTTCGGTCTTTTTGGAAAGAAAAAAGAAGATGTCGATAATTGGTATAGTGGCAAGCCAAGCAAAGAGAAGAAAAATAATGATTTGGTGGCAATTAATGAAGAAAAATGATGATTTTACTCCATTTTGTGGAGAAGAACCAATAAATATATTTGATTAAGAGAGTTTCAATTGCTTTCTTCTAGTCACCAATAAGTCATGGAGAACGAGTTGATTAACGAGTCAGAGTAAATAAGGGCGGTAGAATGATGATTCGGCTAAAATGAGCATAAAATTTGATCGACGATCTGTTCCCCCGCAATAGAGAACGCGTAAATGAATCACTCTGAATACACTTAAAAGGATTCCTAGGAAGGCACAAATTAAGCCATTTAAAATCTGGCATCGGAAACGTGCAGGCACGACTCCAGCTGCCCCCTTCTGCGCCATCTCTCGTATCAGAAGCACCCGATTGGAAACCGGAGCCGCTTTTTGCGGATTTTCGGCGTCGGGTAAAGCCACAATCGCTCGTTTTCCCTAGGAGCAAACCCCAATTTCCAGAGTGGCTTTGGCTCAGATAAACACCATGAGCACATTCTCTGCAAATCAACGCATTTCAACTTTAAAGACCACTCAACGTGAGAAGCCTTAATACGGCGCTTCCTTTCATTATGTATTTTATTATTTCGAAAGTTAAAATGTTTAACTGATGTACGCAGTTTGGCAAGAGTAATAAGATTCATTTTGTTAACTTTCATAAAAATAATCGTCGCGAAAAATGTCAGTTTGAAAAAATCAATACAGGAGCACAAGTCACTTGTCTTTTTGTCTCCTTTTTTCTGTAAAAATTCCGAAAACCCGTCTTTTTTATGCTCTCAAAATTTAACCAGCTGTTTTTAAAGGTCATCTGTTATGCAGATTCCGTAAAGGTCTGTTGTTGATTCTTATCGACCGCTTTTTCCTTTGAGAAAATATCTCAAACCTGATCTCAGCTTCAAAAGAAAAGCAAGTGATACCCTTATTTACTCCTGTAGAAGAAGAAAAGAGTACAGTAAATTGGTTATTTTTTAAGTGAGCCTTCATCAAGTGAAATTTTCGGTTGAAAAAAACTGGTCTGAACATGGGAATCGTAATCACTTTGGTTTTCGACAAGCGTAACTGAACGTTGCTGGTTGAACATATGCTTGAGGCTCACGAAATTGTTGGTTTTTACGTCGCTAGAAAAAATGTGGTATTTGGACGTGTCGGGCTGTTTTTCGTAAATACAAGTACTGTAGCCCGTG